TTTTCATCGATTTCCGCAAACACTACTGCAGGAATCGCTTTCGTAAACGCAAATGACTTAAAAAAACACTTATCATTTTACTGCGAAAATATTAAAAAGTTTATTCATCTTCGTAGCAACTTTTCAGCTCAGTTAGTGTATTAGATATGTCCAAACCAAGTTCACTTTTAACGGTTCGAAAAAATTTGGGGATTGGGTATATGATATTCATAAATAAAGGTTTTTTTATTGTTTCCCAATGAATGAAAAACAAAACGATATTGTTTTCACTGGCGTTTCGCTATCTAATGCTAATAGCTTTATCAAAGTATTATTAAACCGGAATTTACAAAATCTCAGCATATATATAACAAAGAGTTAGGGGGTGAGAAAAAAATAGACTTAGTTCAACTTAAAAGGACATATTGAAAGTCAAAATAACAATGAAGATCGTTCAAACCAAATATCAAAGGTAATAGTATATCTGTTATTATATCAAAACAAAGTTTACTAACTTGATGATCGTTCGTTAGTCTGGGGTCATTTTTGGTTGTCAAGTTGGAGAATTGGTAAAGATAACAAAATCAAGCGTAGATTGTTGGATTTGATATTTACATGAATAAATTCGAAAATAATATCTTTTCAAGCATACTCACTCCTAAAATATGGTTAAGGTATGTGGATGATACTTTTGTAGTACTGAAACGGGATCTAAACAATTCATTCCTGTAGAAAATAAACTATGTATCTCCCAAAATCCAGTTCACTTCGGAAGCAGAATCAGACATCGGTGAACTACCATTTCTAGACTGCCTAGTTAAGAGAAAGGAAAACGGACATTTTAGTATATCCATATTCAGGAAGAAAACCCACTCCAATAAATATTTAGACTTCAAATCACCACACCCCATCAACTCAAAGATTTCAGTTGTTTCAAGTCTTCTTAGACGAGCACACTCTCTGATAACGGATAAGCAAAAAAAAGAAGAAGAAATATCAAACATTACTGAAACTCTCAAGCAAAACAACTACCCAAGGAACTGCATCAGCAAAATCAACACAGACATTAATTATGGCCGAAAATGCATTCAGAAAACATGGACTTCAACAGTCGTCATTCCATATAGAGCAGAGACGTCAGACGATATCAGAAGAGTACTCAATCAGCTCTACATTAGAGTTTTCTTCAAAACATCTGACACACTTCAAAACAAACTTTTCCATATAAAAGACCAAATCCCGAAAGATTCTCTATCTAATTGTGTCTATAAAATAAAATGCTTCGAATGTGATGCGATATACATTGGACAAACATCTCGAGAAATCAAAATCAGAAGAAATGAACACCGTAGAGCATCTCTTCGACCACCAAGAAATCAAACTGAACTAAAAAAACTTCAGAAATCATCAGCCATATGTCTACATGCTATAGAATCAGGCCACAAAATTGATTTTGACAATATTGAAATAATCCAGAAAGACTTCAGAAACCACAAATAACGTCTAATATCAGAAGCACTTCATATCAAGTAGAATCCAGATTATGTGAATAGGAATGATGGACTAAAACAGGATCTGACCTGGCTACAACACCCCCCTCCCCCATGAAGTAGCAAAATCAACACAAATGTGATAAGCAAGTTCACTATGTAAACACACACTACTTTCATAACTCTACACACTGATAAAATCCAACAATCTACGCTTGATTTTGTTATCTTTACCAATTCTCCAACTTGACAACCAAAAATGACCCCAGACTAACGAACGATCATCAAGTTAGTAAACTTTGTTTTGATATAATAACAGATATACTATTACCTTTGATATTTGGTTTGAACGATCTTCATTGTTATTTTGACTTTCAATATGTCCTTTTAAGTTGAACTAAGTCTATTTTTTTCTCACCCCCTAACTCTTTGTTATATATATGCTGAGATTTTGTAAATTCCGGTTTAATAATACTTTGATAAAGCTATTAGCATTAGATAGCGAAACGCCAGTGAAAACAATATCGTTTTGTTCTTCATTCATTGGGAAATACTAAAAAAAACCTTTATTATAATCAATTAATGTGTTTGTATGTAGAGCTGAGTTTCAGCATCTAAAGTTTTCGAGGTGTTTTACCATTTACAATTGACGGGATGTGTAATATCTATTTGCTTAAGAAAGCAGCACTTTACCAATAAATTCTGCTAATTATGTCCGTTCAGGTAACTTTTAGTGTGACCATTAATAAAATAGCTGAGAGGTTATGACAAGACTTTAAGGGAACATAGAGAAGACAGAGTAGCGAAAATTCTAACCAACACCAATAAACACCATTCACCATCACCGGGGAAATCTAAAGCTGGTGGCTTCTTAAACTTACACGGGACGCATCGTTTCAACTAAAACAGGATTAGATCAGGATGCCAAATTGAGGATTAGAAAAGCGAGATAGGCATTCATTATTTTGAAATCATCGTGGAGGTTAAAATTACCCAACACTCACACACACAATACAGTCGGAATTCAGAAGTCGAACGTCGATTCAATGCATCTATATGGTTGATATACTCAGTGCGTCCATCAGTGATAGCATCTCCAAGAGATTGCAGACTCCCACCAACAGCAGTCTTCCCTGGGTTTATACTGGCGATTAGATGGTCGGTCAGCCGGAATGAATTATTAGCGGTGAACTGTGAGAGGCAGGAAACGAGCTAATGGCGTACTGTTTGAGAAATCTGCAGGCGTAAATGGGGATGAGTTGGAGATGCACTGAGGTGACAGTTGAGTGACATGACTTGTCATTCCCTTGAGTTGAATCTGAATGGGAAACGACAAGTCAGATGTCCTAGAATGACGTGGAGAAGATCGTGACGTATGAGCGATTGCGAGGCTAGTCATAATGAACTGCAGAGGACATAGTAAATCGCAATGTGCGTCTAAAATTTTAAGTCGCACTCGAGATCCAAAGGAATAATATTGTCTACGAATATTTGTCCTATATATTACAGGCGATGTAAGTAAAAGTCTATCCTAAGGTGAATTCTTATAGTAACAGATTTGTCTGCATGGAAGTAAGAATTAACGGTAAAAATCACATGATGGCGATCGTTCAAAGGAGTTCATCGATAAACGTGGAAAACGTAGCATGGAAAGATTGAACTGCAGCATAGAAGAGGAAAATTCTGTCTTTCCACAGCTTGTCTTCAAAGGTGATAATATTACTAGCAGAATAATATGCACCCTGCAGCCAAGCCTGTATATGTACATCAAACGATAAGTTGCTTGAGACCGTCAAAAGTGAACAAACTCCCACATCATGTTATCGCTGACTGGGCCTACCAATTTACATGTACGCATCAAAGCGTATACAGCGTATACAACAGAGAGAAGAATTATTGTCCGTATTTTTGAACATATGCTAAAGAACCTAAGAAGAAAGGACTCACTTGCACTAAATGATATGACTGCGTAGCATATATTGGACACTGATCACACTGTGGACAATTTAAAGGCGTTCAAAATAATTAACAGGCAATAAGAAGTTAACTTTCTACGTTTTGATGAGGCGATCTTCATCAAACGAGTGAAACCCTATCTATGTACGCACAAACAATCAGAGGTGAATCTTGTTCTACCTCAGTGTTTGAAATTGCGTAAAAAAGCATACAATTTTATGACTACATTTGCTCATTCATGTCTAACGTCCTGCCTAAAACCTTTTTGCTTCATCTGTATGACTACTCACCTTACTCTCCCTTTTGCCATTTTATTGAAACATATATCCTGAAGCTACGTAGCCTATTACACTGTTACACCCTTTCTGGTTAATCTCAGTCTCGATGCGAAATATATGGAACTCTCCCCTCAAGACTATTGGTTTAATTAACCTATACATAGTCATTCCTTCTAACTCTTAATTATATAACAGCTTTCATCATTACGGACTTATGTTATTCTTATTTTCCATCAATTACCGTTTGTCATCGCGAAAAAACTGTGTTCAAACCTTCATTTTAATTTATGTTATAATATTGCTCAGGTTGTATTCAGTTGAAAGTAATCCTCGAAATAATAAAAGATGAATTCATATTCTGCTGGTAGATTTGTCGTTCTTGCTTTGTATAAGTCTACTAGTGGAAAGAATTGTATGGAATTTCTGAAAAAGAAAACATATAGTTTTAGGCATCGCTTTAACCTTTTTTGCATTACTTGAAACACCTTTATTTTTCTGCCTCACACACTGTAATGGGATTCTACCTTTCTACTATGCACAAAGCATTTAACCAACTGCAGAATTTGACTGGATATTTTATCAGCTCATTGATTCATTAATTTATCAATATTCGTTGCTTATTTTAAATGTTAAGGAAATACACTTTATTTAAAATGCTCTAGCAAAACATGTCTTCAATTTGTGCACATTTTTAAATGATTCGAAAGGTAAATTTTAGTCTCTCATAATACAATGGAATGTAGCTAATAGACCATCATATTCATAATACATAACTCTACCTTTTTTCAAGACTTCTCAAACTATTGTATTAAAAGCTTAAACAAGTTCGCCTTTGTTTGTGAATTACAATTCACTGATATACAGTATATAAAGTGTGTTGAAAATTTATGATGGACGCTCTTCTAATGCATGTCGTCTGCATCTAAACCATTGTATAGGCCATTAATTTGTAGACGATTCCTAAGCGGCCTTAGCGTTACTACATGTAAACTTTACAGAAGTATTAGTTAGTGAGAGATGCTTATTCGGGGTTTTGACTATCACATATTCAGATAAATGAAAGCCATGCATTCCACAAATTAGTCAGTATGTCGCTCATTATTTCGCACAGAAACATTGATCAGGTGAGAAAATAGTTCAACAAACCAATTTCTTCACATATTTTTAGGAAAATTAAGACACTTCCACATGTACTCTAGAAGTGTTCGTAGATAAAAGTGAAGTATTTTTATTTATTTTTATATTTATTTAAAAATTTGTCATCATGTACATATTTAGCATTTTGTTCAAATTTCAGGAGTAGGATTTTTGCTGAATCCACAGCTTTGGAACAGATTTTATCCAGTCACATTGCTAAATTATTCTTCGATATACCATTCAAAGAATGAAGAGGGTTCAATGACAGAATATGATAGCGATAAATGTCTCCAAGAGTTCCTTGATAAAACAGAGTAAGTTTATAATAGTTATGAGGTCCAAAAGCTTGTCTACAGATTAATGCATAATTCAAGTACCTCTATCTTTAAATGAAGTTCTGGGCTGGTTGTTTGTCAAGTGTATGACCCCGATGGAAAATTTCAGTTTACAGCATAATGCTTCTTCAGACACAGTATTGGATATAGTCCTTTGTTTGGTGCAGACTGAATTCTATCAGTCAGGTTTGCAATGTGGCCACCACGCTGAGTAGGTTGCCATCACGGTGAGCGGTGAAATGTTGATATCAGGTGGTTGGAGGCAATAGGTAGGAGGCCCTATCTGATCTAGGTCTCTTTCTAGTTGGCAGTCGTCAGAATGGCGTATCTGCAACCTTGAAGGAACTCATTTCGCTTCAAAGGTGCTGCAGTCAGAAACGATATTAACGAGCTATCCGGAATCGCCGTTGACCTTCTGTAGGACCGTATTGGATATTTTTGATTGAGCACTAGTCAGTAACTAGTGTATTATTATTAGTATCCTGGTGACATTTGCTGTTCGAATAGCTTAATTAGTTAATAATCAATAATAGTTTGAATACACATCAGGTTACCCGAAAATTTGAACTGATTGATCTGCTGTTCGCTTCAAATTCACTTTTGACACAGCTCATCAATTGACATCATTAAGGAGATCAGGCATAGTAGTTTTGCTTTTAGCAGATTTATAATGTAATCCACGTAATACAGTTTGTAATAATAATTCCAAGTTTTCAGGGAGACACTAACTTCCAAGTTTATACTATGCATGGGAAATACACATCTCAGGTAAGGTCATAATTTTCATTTCTTATTTCCTGAACAAGACAAGTTAGTAAATCATCAGTGAGGAGCTAGTGAATATAAAGTTAACTCTGTGTTTATCAAAATTATCACTGGAATTAATTTTCCTTAGTAGTACTGTTGTATTTCGCACAAGAAGCTGATAATAACATGTTGAAATGATGTCAGTGTATTGTATGATAAATTTTTACTGATAATATTTTCAATACACATAATATACTTGACAATACAAATTAAATACTGTGTATTAGAGATTGATCTCAATACTTTTATTCGAAATTGCATGATGTCATCTGAGATAAAATGAGAATAAGTCTAAGTTAATAAACACGACAAGGCAACAAAGCATAAAATACTTCTGCACACTAGTACAACTTTTCTGTACTTTGAAGAGATATAAGTTTTCAACACTAATGTCAAGTCATTGCTTCTCTATGTTTCAGGGACTTGGCAAGTGCATCACGAAAGGCATTTTCAACAGACCGATACAGAATCTCACCAATAGCTGTCTTCACTGGTTTGATATTGAAGGTCAGGTGGTGAGGCACAAAGAATTAGCAACAAGGAACTCTGTAGGGTAGAGGACCAGTCATTGATCTGCGTTCAAATAACTATGCAAAAGGAAATAGAGAGGGAACGCATATGTTCCAAAAAGACCATTGAGTGATGCAACATGTCAGACCGTCGAGAGGAACTGGAATGGGATACGACGAATTTGGCGTCCGGACAGGGAGTAGGTGATACTAAGGCCTGTTGGAAACCGTGGAGCCAGGTGAAAGTAATTGTAGGGCATAAAATGTAAAAGACATGTACTATAAAAGCCCAAAGTTCCACTAGGAATCTAAGGAAGTAAAAATAATATAGTACAAATTTTCTGTCACATAAGACACATAAATATATTTACAAATAAGTTTTAGACGGTAATTATTTCGTTGACAATATAAGGTATATAAACCTGAATTTTATAATTTATGAAACCTGTTACCTGATATTGCACCCAATGATCTTTCGTAAATCTGTAGAGCTGATATTTTCGTTCAGTGACAAAATGTACTTATAAACAAAGTCACATTTCAATACTAAAACTGCTAACTATGAAAATACAAATAATTTTATATTTCTTTAGTTAACTATTACACACAAGTTAAATACCTTCAACTAACATCAGATGGGTTTGCTAAACTTGGGACAGTGGTACATGATTTCAGCTGCTGATCACTTTCAGCACCAATATAAGGTATAATAATGTTTAAACACTTCCAACGAAAACAGAAGTTTTGAAGACCATGGAGTTACTAAAATTAGAGAAAGCAGCAGGATCAGATGAAACTCTCCAGAAGCACTGAAAAAGGATCCAAAGATTTGGGTGGATATGCTTAAACAGAAGGTGTGGATGGAAGAAAGCCTAATGTGTCAAATTTCCAAAGAAAAGCGACATAAGCATACTCAAGAACTGGCCCGGAAACATGTCCCGGTCCACTTCAGAAAAAAAAATTATCTCTATTTAATTCTACCTTCGTTACTGAACCAGATTAAATAATACCTGTAATTATGACATTATGTAAAAAGAGAATTCTTAAAAATTGCAGTCGTAGAATTATGAGGAATGAAATCCGCATGATTATGTCTTCAGTAAAGCTATTTTCATTGATATTACAACTCATTGCTTATAAGCATATAGAACTGTTGACATAACTTTCACGTTTAGTTACTGCAGCTCTGCCATTTTACATATTATGATTTTATCTGCAATAATATTCTCTATATATCCGAAAGTGATTTTAAATTCCTAACACTGCATATACTGAATGTTGTTTCTAGGTGCAAAGATTCAGGTATCAAGCTGTGTCCAATCAATTATACTGGCCTTTTTTATGAAATTGTACACTACTCTTTTTGACTTTATTTATTTAAGTTTATATTTTCTGAAGATAAATTGAAGCAGATGAAATATTTGGCTTCCTGATCTAGCAACGTATAACATGTACATGTTTAAGTGATAAGTATGAGACAAGACAAACTGCAAAATAAAAGACGAATTCAGCAAAGAAAATTTTCTTCATCGATGAAATCATTTTCAGAGGCTGTACAGTCGTATTTATACTTAGAAAAATGTATAGTGGTCTATTATTGAGCAATAGGGGGTGACATAATTGATATAATTACTCAGAAGTGGAATTAAAAGTAGTAAATTAAGTGGTTCTCAACGGCATAAAGATAGAAGTTTGATAAGGTTAACATTGCTATTGAGTGAGAGTAAAGGTGTTTGAGTGTCAATTTAACAAGTGTGAAGAGGGTGTAAAATGTACAGAAGGAGCACATGAGAGTGCTAATAGTTAACTAATTATTAAAGTAATAGCAAACTAAAAGTAAAATTAGAAATTTTAAAAAGTAAAGAAAAATCAAAAGTTTTTACAGGGAACGACTAGTGAAGAGATTAAGACTAAGGTAGAATAAGAGACTGGACAAACTTTTTCTGTATACAGAGTTCAGGTTTGTATTGTACGACTGTACAGCCTCTGAAGATGATTTGTTCGATAAAGAAAATTTTCTTCGCTGAATTTGTCTTTTATTTTCTTCATGACACAAACTACAAAATTAACCGGTGCCTCTTTTAATTACAGGTATTCGTTGACCTGAAAACGTTTTAAGATTAAACAAAACGAGATTATCAGACAAATGAACTGGATTTTGATTCAACTCGTATATACCTAATTCGATAATGTGTGCATTACGTCGTCCCTTTGTCTCAAATTGCCTTTGTTTTATTTTACTGAATTAATGTTGTGTCTGGCACTTAAGCCTACCAAACATACAACGATTGGTTACAAATTTATTGTGCCTTTTCATTTATTCTACTTATATTTAAAAAATTACTAGTTCTCACTGTTTTTATTTTATTTGTTTACTAGTGATGGCTTGTGCGAAATCTCAGATAAATGTTGGAAATTAGTTACAGACGAAAGTGAAACAGATTATGGCCTAACACATCAGCTTTTCTATATCATGGTTGGTTTACAAGTAAGAAAACATTTTTATTATTTGAATATGCATTTTCTCAAGATCGGAGATTTTTACAAAGGGTTAAGAGAAACATATTTTGTCAGTATGAACATGTATTTAAATGGTCTTCATAATTTATTGAGTTTTCACTTGAACAGCTATTTGAGACAATAAGTGAGACAATCAATTTATTATCAGAGAAAAATACGGATTCTCTTTTCTTAGCAAACGGTTAGAATAACAGTGAGAAGGTGAATTGTTATAGTTATCAGAATTCATATGACTCCAATTCTCTCAGTGCTGCAGAATGTATTACTCACTGAAACTTTATGACTAGTACAACTGTTACTTGAAGCTGTAGAATAAAGCTGGAGATAGCTGGGAGGAAGAAACAAATAACAACTTGACTTTTATTTTAAAAAGTTATGCAAGTCCCTTGAAAAACATAACACCTCCAGGCCTATGCTTTTTAAAGTCGTTAGGTGTGTGTTTTTCAAAATGATAATGACTTTTCAGATAGCTGATATTAAGCATATATCTACACCTTTTTTCAAAAAACACTAATGGATATCAGTTACCCTACCAAAGTTTTAAGTCACACTGACGATGTGATTTTAAATCTGTATGCTAAAAATGCTGCAAATGTTCTATATAAATAAATTCATTTACTTTTAATTGCAATATTACAAGTTTTTATTATAAAATACTTCTTTTTATTTATCTTTACTAATACTGTGTTGTACTCATTTCATTTTATCCAATCAAAAGAAGCAATGGTAAATATAGCTGCATTTTTTGGAAGTGTTTCATTTAATATCCCAATACTGAGATATTATTTATTATGCTGTTTATTTTCCTTTCTACTTCTTGGTACTTTTTTCGCATTTTTTTTACTATTTTTGTGTTTTTTTGTTTTTGTTGTTGTTTTTATATTTATTTTTGAAGTACTCCTTCTAAATGTTTGATAAAATTAGATGCAATATTGTAGATATGAGCTGAAAATTCCACACTGCACTACTAGTACTGTTTCTGGAATAAAGCAAATATTATTATTATTAAATATTATTATTATTTTTGGACTAAAAACTGTAGTTACCTATTGTGTGATTTATTTAAGAGTGACTGTGGCGAAACGATGAACTATCTTTTGAAATCATACCGACCGTGGATGAATACTGAAACATATATGCAGCAGTTATGTTCAAATGTAGCCATAGAAGCTCAGACTATTGCAAATAACAGCTTTCCGGTCGAATGCAGAGATCTTTTCATGGAACAAGGTATGTCACTGTGATAAATTATTACATGAAATAAATTATAATTGTATCTCAATAGTTTTCACACAATGGTAAGTTTTTGTTTTTGGTAATATTTCGAGCAAAATTACTGCCCGTGATCACACCAACTTTTGGAATTGTTTTGTTTTTAATTCACATATTCATGATTTATATATATATATATATATATATATATAGTTCTTTTTTTTATTCATTTTTGTGTATTCAGAATTATATTTCAAGTTGTTGACACTTGTACTGAGTCACCTTTGTTACATGTTTCCGGTATGACTTTAATGACTATAGATTGTGTTACAAGTCTCTCTTTCCATTTGTTCATATTAGTTTCTAGAATGCACACAATCGATTTTGTGGTTTTTATCCTATGCATGTGCAGCTATAGCCGATTTTTTTTCTAAATTGTTGTAAGCTTGCATTCCTATTGGATGACCTTAAGTTAGGTGTTTATCTTCATTCACCCTTATTTTGAATGATCTAGACGTGTTTGACCCACATATTTCGTCAAACGCTCAGCACGAGATATTTTGTAAATTACATTATTTCTATCCATCACTTTTATTGGATCTTTGACTTGATATATTTTATTTTTAATTAGATTCGTTGGTTTAAACGTCGTGCGAACCACAATATTTTTGAGGTTTCTTTGAATTACCTCTGATGTACCATTTTTGTATAGTATCGTGATTGATTTTTGCCCTCCTCTTTTTTGTCATTCTCTGGTTTTACCGTCTTTTTTCTCTTTTTCACATTATTTCTGACAAATTCTTTCGGGTAGTTGTTGTCCAGTAACATTTTGAATAAGACGTTGATTTCTTTTCTCTAGTCGTTTGTGTTGTTGTAAGTCTATGTATTCTATCTGTGAGACCTTGTACTAATCCTAGTTTAAACGTGAGTGAATGGACTGAGTAATAATCAAGGAATCTCCCAGAATGTGCAGATTTTCTATATAGTGTCGTTTTTATGCTACCATGTGTTACTCTTTGTACTTTGATGTCGAACATAGGCAGTTCCCTAGTTTAATTCTCTATTTCCATAATGAATTTTATTGAGTCGACATGACTGTTTATGTGTGAGAAGAATTTCTCAACATCGTTCCATCTCATTATTGCTAACGTGTCGTCTACATACTTCCACCAACATTTTATTGAGGAAGTTATAACTACGATGTTCCTGACCAGTAAATTTATCAGAAAGCTACCCTACCGACAAATTTTCTTGCATGAAGAGTTACTGAAATGAGCATTTTCTGATCCACACCAGGAGCTGATTTTATTTCAAAAATGACTGTAATGAGTAAACTAAAAGAACTCTTAACAGCTGTGTATCATAATCTGTTTTTCAGTGAAACGATTGGTGCAAATGTTAAATCAGTGGATCTCAATGTAACTTCTTGTGTTCCTAATGCAACCTTAGGGGATGAAGTTTACGCGAAGTGCACTGTATACCAACTCAAGTTCTTATCCTAAAACTCCCACAGTATTTGTTCTGCGCAGACAAAAGGCAAATCAAAACACTAGATTGACCGTTCAAAGTACGAAAGATGTTTTGGGATCATAATCTTAGTCTAAGGATGATTGTTTAGCTAGCAGGTGACTGTGCACCAACGAACAAACTTAACACGACAGCATATCGAAGTGGCGTAAATCAGTGACCGTGCGCCTTCAGCCTAACGTGATGAAGGCTGTGCGTTAATAATTTTGGAGAATTAAATCCCGCTACGCAAATACTAACAAATAAAAGCTCTCTTTTTATAACTACTTCCAAAGAGGCGTTTTAGATCTGTACTTTATACTAATGTGCACTTTCGAAAGCACTAGCTTATTGTTCATGAGTCTTTCAAAATTTATTGCAAATTCTTTGTCAATTGTGAACTAAGTAACTGGAGAAATGAAAATGATAAACAGGACATATATGCAAGATTAGAAGAAGAGGTGCTGCACATTCACCTGAAAAATTTTACAATAATGGAAAACGAAATTAAAATTATAGTGATTTCGTAAACCATAGAAGGTAGGAAAAAACCTAAAATAAACAATGGAGAAAGACCTGACTGTGAGCGCGTTAATTACACTATGTAAGATTACAAAAAAATAGTGGGACCAGTTGAAATGTCAAGATAAAATGAACGGTCACGTGAATTTATTGTAAGAGTAGAATTTGAACACTGTTGTAGAATACACTTCCATAGTGGATACGTTTAGGTGCTAAAACACCCAGTGATACAGTGTTAACAAGTGTGTGACGTTTTGAGCACAATTTAGGACATGGTTGTGTGAAATAAATTCTACTGGGAACGTCATCCAATGTAAGGGGCTTTTACTCAGTGAGTTATTTAATTCTTAAGGGCATAGAATTGCTACTACGTTTTCCTGCATATACGCAGTTTCGTCATCACATATAACCCTTTCTCTCATGAAGTATACAGAAAATAAATGCAATCGTTCTACTCTTCTTACATGATGAAGCTAAATGATAGAATAAATTAAGTGGCTGTTTATTTTTGTCTACTCTTTTAGGAATATTTTTCTCACCTCAACCTTCAAATCGTTTGGTCATGAATAACAAGTTTATATTTTGACCACTAAATAATCTTGTATCCTAAAGTATTATTGTTCATGCATCCTGTTCATTATCTACACATCTAACATTTGCTGCAAACCTTTGATTTCATATTCGTTTACAAGTAAAAACCACATTACTTGTAAACCACTTTACTTTTTTGCCTATAAAGGTAATTAATTTGATTGTTCATTTTAAATATCTGAGACATATCAACAGAACAGTTCATTGAGACAGTGTCAAGAATTAAGTGATCTCATTTCAGCATAAAAACCACTAGAAAAGAAGGAGCATAAAACAGCTGGGTGTTTTTTAAGATCTGACCATTATGGTAGTGCTATTCACCGTTTAAAGTGTTTGGAACACACGTTATTCATGTCACCTCGTCATCTACTAGTGAAAGCCGTTTTATCCGAGACATAATGAAGTCAAAAATCCTAGACTGGTCAAGTCTCTTACTTTAAATATCACTAAAATAAGCTATTTGAATGAGATATCATAAGACAATAGAACTGATAACAGAAACCTTGAAACAACATAGTCACATAGGTAGACTTGTGTTTTAGATGTCATGCGTAACTATATTCTCCTGCTTTTTTAAAAAGATTTTGTTTACTTGTTGTAATCGCTAACATTGTTTTCACTCGTCTTGTCCATCCCAAGCCTATATGAAACCTGGTCGTTTTGACTGATATACAATTACTATCAGTTATACACTGCTTACATTTCGCCTGTTAGAACAAATTTCAAGATTTTCGTACACAAATGGATTGGCTGCTGACAGCAAAACAGCAGTGACATGCATTGCAGAAATCATATGAAATAAACGCCATAAAATTAATCTCATCTATCAGTATGTTGTAGAGTCCTGCTAAGACTACTGAGCTGTCTTATGAAACGACTGAATAAAACTAAACTGACCTTTATAAGTCATAGTATGAATAAAAAGCACACACAAACCGAACTATTAAATTAAGTAATACCGAAAAATCAAAGCTGTTTGATGTTCTCCAGGCTGGGTAAGATTTTCACCAATAAATCCATCAATGATCATGAAATATCAGAAAGCATCAGGCATTTTCCATCCTTTTTCTGAGCTTCAAATCTCCTCTATAACTTCACTGAAGGATTATGTTCGACTAAAATGACTCTTAAAGAAAAATACATCACACGTCATGTTAGTGGAAAGAATCACTTGATTGCCAGTGCACTGAAAAGTGTTAGGTATGTCATGTCTAGGATTTTACACGCTGCATTAACTGTAAAGTTAGTGCAAGTTTCAACACTAAAACTTCCGAAGGCAACTATGAAATTTCTCTTTAAATATTCTGTTAATTTTGATCTTCTTTGCAGTTGGGTTCTGTGGTGTAGCTGGATTTTGGCAAATCTGTAGGATGGATTGGCTCGATAAAATTATTGCATGGCAAGAAGTAAATGGTTGTTATCATAAGTTTAATGAAGAATTAATAAATCCAAGAAATTTTGGTTCTAATGAATATGGACACTACAAACGAAGAAAACGATCTGAAGAAATTCTATCCAGTGGTCGTGAAGCTTGTTTATCGCACAGAACAAGTGTAGCATTGACGGCATTGGGAGGTTATCTAAGATATTTGGTTGAATTCTACTAGATAACTAAATGCATTTGTGATCTATTTTTGTTTTGTTGTCGAGTTTTATTTTCAGAGATGAAAATTTATTCTGAAGAAAATAATAATTATAACATCTTCATATTTTTTTATTATTTTGTGGACATCTTATTGTAGACACAAACTCTGAAATGACTGATTGTTACAGTCAGTGTTAAAGATACAGGCTGATAACTTCCCGAACTAATTAACCTCCTTTACTTTGTGCTAAAAACTCCACCTCTACTCGTATTTCTATCGTATTACATGTCATAATTGCTGCACAGGTGATCGACTGAAATTTTCTATTGTTCTTCGCCCTTTAGCCACAATTTATTTGAACAGTTCTTTCAACAGTACACCTTAACTTTAGCCAACTAAACATCGTAACACTTCCACTTCCGAAACTTGCGAAATTCGCTTCTTTGGTTGTTGTGTGTCTACCGAAGTTTTTTATCAGAGCTGTTACAACCTCACAAGTAAATAAAGTAGTCAGTATACTCAAGGAATTGATTACCTGTTGTAACATTAATAGTGTAAATTCAGTGTTCAAGTGTTCAGTCAGCAAAAAGGATCCTTCGAGAGTAATAATAAGAGAAGAAATTGACAAATCGTGTGTAGTTATGACATAATCCTTAGTTTCATACTACTGTATAATATAAGTAGTGATTCGAAACCGACATGTGTTTTAAGCTAAACAAGGCAAAATAATGAGTGTACTTCCAAAGAATATCTAATTTAGTTTTCGTTTTTAACAATAATGTGTGTCGAAAATTTTTTAAAGCGAAGAAGATTTAATTAAATTAACTGAGCCTAATCAGTTCCTTTCGATCAACTAATTTACAGTAATCCGCCACAACAACAAATGTAAGCAAGTGATAGACTACGAAAGTCACTAGATGTTATAAAGTAATATGAACAATGCAACTTTAACGTAAATCTATGTTATTTGATCTAAGTTTCTGCAGATTACCTCACCTATCGGAAATTGCTCCAACACTACAGCGTGTAGTATTATTATTACTATTATGTCCTTCAATTCCTAGAGGAACATAGGGCTTCAGCTGCGCGTCTCCAGTGCCTTCGGTTTTCTGCCAACTTTTTCATCCCGCTCCAAGTCTGCCCACATGCTTTCATCTCCTCTTCACATGACCTCCTCCAAGTCACCCTTGCACTGACGACCAGCACGCCGCTCCCCTTTCAAGTTCCACTCGAGCAATGGCTTGTCTAGTGATGTCACTTGATGGTTTGTTTTCTTAGAGTATGGCCATCAATCCACCTCCATTTCTTCCTGCCTATTTGTTTCACAATCGGTTCCTGGTTGGTCCACTCCCAGAGATCCCTGTTGCTGATCTTTTCTGGCTAGCCATCTGATCTTGAGTATTGAGCGAAGACAACTCTTAATGAAGGTTTGAAGTTTGTTTGAGATGCTCTTTATGACGCGCCAAGTCTCTGATCCGTTTAGTAAGTAGCACTGACTTCACATTAGAGTTGAAGATTCGGATTTCATTTTTGATGGTGAGTGATGTTGACCTCCACACAGACTTAAGAGTAATGAAAGCCTGTCTTCCTTTTCCGATTCCTGCTTTGATATCCTCTTCAGTTCCGCCTGTAGTTGAAACGATGCTTCCCAGGTAGGTAGGTAGGTAGGTAAAGGAGGTTGTTTCTTTCAGGTTCCTCCCATTTATACTAACTGTCGTCTGTTGTTGTTGTTGTTGCTATTGCTGTTGGCCAGGAATCTTCATCACCTCTGTTTTATCTATGTCTACCTGGAATCCTATATTGATGCTTCTTCTGCCAACTTGTTGTTTTTCACTTGCATATCTTCCAGTTTGTGGGAAATCAGACATATGTCATCATCGGCGAAGTCCAGATCCTCCAAGTTTTTGTGTAGGTCCATTTTACGTCTATTTCCTTATTTCCCGTTGTCTGTCTCATTATCTAATCTACTGCAATCAGGAAAATCATTGGCGATAGTAGACAGCCTTGCCTCGCTGCTGTCCTCACTTCGAAGGCCTCCGTAAGTTTCCTGTTGTGGATTACTCGGCATGCAGCATTGTCGTATAGATGTTGGATGAGATATATAATTGTCAATGTGACCCCATACTAGCGAATTAGTTTCCAAATCACCTCTCTATCGACGCTGTTGAAGGCCTTTTCAAAGTCGATGAAGTTGAGTGAGGTGGAGAGATGGCTGCCATTCCAAGCTTTGCTCAATGATGATCCGTGGTGTGACGATTTGATCATTACATGACTTGTTTCTCCTGAATCCAGCTTGTTCCGGTCGGAGTTTTGCATCCAGGGCTTGTTTGATTCTCTCCAGGATGATGCGGCTTAGTATTTTGTTTGGGATGGACAGGAGCATAATTCAACGCCAGTTTTTGCATTGACTTAAGTCTCATTTCTTTGGTAGTTTGAATAAGTATCCTTTCTTCCAATCCTCGGGTACTTTGCCCTCTTTCCACACCTTCTCCAGAAATGGCGTCATCAAGTCCGGCGTGTAGTGGCCAAGTCTTTATCAATCTTATTCATCAGCTGGATATATGACAATGCCATGTGTCAGGCGATCCACAATGGAAAACTCAGCGAGGAGTTCTAATTGAATGGAGGAGTAAGACAAGTTTGCCTATTATCATCGATGATATTCCCAAGTGTGGTGGACTGGCTTATGCGTGAGACTGTGCTCAGTGAGTGAGAAGACAGGAATACGTTACAGCGACTGATAAGAAGACTCCAGAAGATCTGGATTTCGCGCGTGGATGATTTATTTCTAATGTCACACAAACTAGATGACTTACAGGCGAAAGCCAACAAACTGTCTGAAGAGGCTAGCAGCAAAGACAGGACTGCATGTGGTCATAGAGGAGACCGAGGTGATGAAGATAACCAACGAACCGCAACAACAACAACCAGCACAAATCACCATCAACGGGAGAGATTTAACCGAGTTTACCTCCTTCACTGATCTGCCTGGGAAGCATAGTTTCAACTACAAGCAATCGGAACTGATGAAAATGTCAAAGCCAGTCAGAATCAGAAAGGCAAGATACACCTTCATCAACCTGAAATCAGACAGCATAAAGAACAAGATTCAGACTTTCAGCACAAATTTGAAGTCAGTCAGTTCGTGCTTCTATATGGGTCAGACACCTGCACTACATGTGACAAAAACATTTCCAACAGGCAACTGAAGACTTTCAGCAGCAGCTGCCATTGCTGGCTCCATACAGAAGATCAAGTGACGGCCAGAATGAATTAGCAACAATGCCACACTGAACTCAAGAAAATAATAATCATACTCCACCTAAATCAGTTAATCAGATTATAGGGATTCTATCTAGTCAGTTGTCATTATTACATTTCACACAACTAAATGTCAAAAGCTTTAGGACTAAATAAATCTTATTATTTGATGGACACTGACAAGCAGTGGAACCTAAGATGCGGTTCCGTCCTATTTAGGACTCACCACTTGGATTTACCTGCAAACCTCAAAGACTGAAGATATTTTCGGTGACACTGGAACCTTAAATCTATAGTTACAAACCTCAAAACATTAGTCGCTAGGATGATTGAACCATGACGGCTACCTCCTTGGTGTTCAAAACTATGGGTACTGGATCCCAGTCTCAGCGAGATCATCACTGTCTAGAGACTCCAGAAACATCTGGCTGATAATTCCGAAGTAAGATGAAACGCTCATCATGGATTTGATCGCTAATCACTAGTCCCCAAATAACATCGTTTTATTCCTCAGATATCCTCAAAAACGTCTGCAATAAGAGCCGGCGTGTTAACGGAGACCAAATATTTCAGTTCAATAAATTTAATGGATGGGAAATACAAATCTGAATTACACAGCTGTATTATTCCTTTCTACTTGTTGTAATTCGGTAGTTCAATAGTAGAGCGCTCCCCAGCCATGTAGGATATTTCGGTTCGATTTCCGGCAGCCATACTGCTAGATCTCACCTAGTTTACTAATCAACAGTAAGCCCAGAAGATAGGAATGACGTGAGGCTAACAACCCAGCCCGTAAAGCCAACACCACTACTAGAACTTTCAAGCCTGATGTCCCATGTTCAAGTTGGAACACAAAAGAATGAAGTAACTTTTCTGCAGAGTGGAAGTTTTATCTTGCTTTGAGTAAATCAGGAGAAGGTGCTGAAATAAGGTGCTCCACTGGAGAATTATAAAAAGTAACAAAGTGAAGTAAGGAACGAACTTCCAGGCGTTTACTGTTCTTCCGTGGTTTTTGAACCTTAAGATTATGATTTTGTAAGCAGTTCGTTAGATAAGGAAGATATAATTTACCTTAATTGTCAACGGAATCATAGTGCTCGCGTGACTTTACTCTTTATCAAAAGAGATTACAATGAAAATGAATCTAGTCGATCCAAGCTCTCTCCAAGTTAGAGGTCTGAGAATCCCTCGGTCAGTTTAGTGCCTACTATCTGAATGCCTTATAATATGCCCAAGTTGTATTCGAAACATTATTTTGCTACTTGAATCCTATATTCCAGATAAGGTCCAATACAGGTTGGATATAATACTTGAAAGACATCGTTATCAAAACTAAAAAAGGCTTTGTGGAGAGCCCATAATATTCTAAAGGCCTCCTAGGTAACGTGAATTTTTCAGCCCATGTTTACACCTGTTGCTAATAGCAACATGCACAACTACATACCTCCTTGTACTAATTTCTTAAAACCAACGGTCACTCCATTCAAACAATAGATTCATATATCCTCGCACAGCAAATCGAATGTCATAAATGTCTAGAGCCGTCGAGAGTTTGATAAGGTCGGCTAACATAAGACCAGATGAATTAATTATTGACAGTATTTCGTTTACACCCAGTAGGAAGGGTGTCTGGTGTTGTACACTGCGGCATGCAAGTCTTTATCGGCTGCAGTGAGGACAGTACACCAACAACTCATACATCTCTTATCTGCAAGATAGTCCTGAATACAGTCTCCTACCATTTTATGGATTCCAAAACTACCTAAGTTTACCATAAAATCAGAATGGGAAACCTGATAGAAAGCCTTGTTAAAGTTGACGAATGTAGCCTTCACTGACGTAGCACTAATGGCGTTAGCCTAAACCTTTACGGACTTGTGAAGGCAACGTTTTAGTCCTTTACTAACTTGATGACATTCAAACGAGCCTGATATTTTTTTTAAGATAATCCAGTAATATCCGCAGTGTTTTGACTGTGACAACTCATCACTACACCTGGATCACTAAACTTATTTATAATACTACTAATATTAATCTTCACATTTTTTATAAAATTCAGCATTAGTTTCTAAGACCTGACTATCTGAGAACCCGGGTCTGTTTGTCTGTTATCTTACAGCTTACATTGCTTTTATCTCAGTTTTACC